GGAGCTGGGAGAAGTGTTCTTTCTAGCTCTTCTCAGTCTTCAAGTTACATGAATCATGCAGATATGGTATTTCTTTAAGTTCTGTAAGGAGTCTAACCTTCCCGGTGAACCCAAGAAGACCTAGTCAGAGCCACATACCACTCTTCTCACTCCCTGACAGATACGTGCTTGTGATACGTCTTCTCTCCAGAAGCTCCAAAAGTAGGTAGACTTTCAATTTCTTAATTCATGTGTGCAGAAACAAAGCCATTACACCATGTGATGAATGTGAAAGAAACAAGCGAAGTATAGAAGATTTTATTTCAATACAAGCAGTAACCGTACTTTGTCTGAAGGGGAGGTAACAGCCTGCAAAAAGGATTCTTAGCCAATATACTCCAGCATACTTTCTGCAGCAGTTTTATGCTTCAGTGCTGTGTGGATCTAAATAAAGTGACAACCACCCCTGCGTGCGAGGATAAGATCCTGTATCTGCTATTGAACCATTCTAGGACTATATCTAAAGTATCAGACAGGAACTATTTTTCCTGGAGGCAGTTTTAAGTTGAAGGTTTTTAAAAAAGAAAAAAAAAAAAAAAAAGGAAAGAAAGAAAGAATGAAAGAAAAAAGAAAAAAGAAAAAAGAAAAAAGAAAAAAGAAAAGAAAAGCTGTTGAAAAGCACCAAAGAAAGCTGGGTCTCTAGAAAAAAAAGTGCCAATGATCCTGACTGAGCTTTCTGTTTGCTTCTCAATACATCAGGCCTGGAACAAGTTTCTCAGTGCAAAATTTCTCTAATTGGCTGGAAAGCATTTAAGGAAAAAATCTTTTTAATTAAAAACAGAGAACCAAAAAGACATGAAAGCCATGGGGGTTGGGAGAGGCATATGTTGACCTTATGAAGCTTCACAGCAGAACTCTGCAGGGGCTGTTTAAACTGAGAAAGCACAGTTTTAATTAAAGAGTCCTGAGGAACAGACAATTCAAAAGAGCAGGTCAGCTAGATTCCAAGAGGTCAATTTAAGCATAAGAGGAGGGAAAACAAGACTTCTGGTCATTTCGCCTTCCTCTGGGAGAAATCTGTTTCTAACCAAGCATTATGCTCTGTGTTTCTCAACACAGAAACTGGCTGTCCCTCTGACCACCTCCATGGGTGTTGTGTATCATCGGTAAGTGTTTATGGGATGGAAAAAATTTTGTCAAGTCCACCCCAGTTTCTTGACACCGGGTCACATTCTAAAATAAACCCAATTGTATTTTTTCCCCAGTGCATGGAATCCCAGATATGCTTATGCATACTTGAAAACAAAACTCTGAACTTTGCTAAGCTTTGAAAAACAGTGGGAAACCCTGTCAAAACCAGATCCGTTACATTGAAATCCTCCTCCTTTTTCTTTTCCTAAACTTTTTGTTTACTTTTTGAAGTGTGCTATGTTGCTAACACATTTAGTGAAGCTAGTGATTTTTCCTTGCTATTTGGAGACAAACTGAAAAATTAATCCAGTCTCCAAACAACAGAATGCATGAGCAACGTCACTAGAACTGATCAAGTATTAGGGCTAACATACAAAATCCTAATATAAAAGGTGCTTCATTTCTCCAAGAAAAACTACATGCCTTTAATTCAAAAGGATAAGGAATTAAGCAGAAGGGTAATATCTACAGGCTGCCAAGGGAAACAATAATTTTAGTTCATTTCAATTAGTGTATGTAGGGTTCTGCACATGCACTGATTATGAGTATTGCTCCTGTTCAGATCTCTCTTATTGACCCTTTGAGAACTCATGGCTAGATACATCTGCTTGGGTGAACAAAGTGCACCAAAATCAAGACATGCTTATTTCAAGAATTATAGATCAAGTAGTAAATCCTACAGGGAGAATTTCACTGCATTGAGCAGAAGCAATTAGCAGCCATATTAGTTGGTCAGTTCACTCATTTGTGAAATATTGCCTGCTTTTCTAAAATCCCAATTAAATTCTCAAAGTTGGGAATTTTTATTTATTTGTTGAGATTTTTATACACTTAGCAATCACATTGTCTCATAGGCATCTTTAATCTTATTCTCTCTTGCTTCATCCAGAGTGCAAACTTTGATGCAAGTTCTTGTTTGCGTTGATCTACATCCTCAGAGCCAGCATTTATGCAGTTTGTACACACCACAGATAGAGAAAACTAAGAAAAAGACATCCATTCGCTTCTAAAACAGAAATTCAGGTCTGGAATGAAACTGAAAAGAATCGAAAGGGATGACTGGCACCAAACACGTTTGTGGCAAAGGAATAAACAACAACAGAAACTTTCCATTCACCTGACATAGTGCACCAATTGTAGAGAGACACTAGTTCCCTTCTCAAAAGCTATATTCCAGGATAATCTGGAGCAATACTGCTTCTAATTCCAGAACTGGCAGGTTGTTTGCCCTGTTATCAGTTGCATGGTGTAGGATTACCATAAACAAAATTTCTGAACAGGACTCTTAACTTTTCTACCTCTTGTACATAATTAAATTAAAATTATCCTAATTGTATCAATGTAAAATGACATGCTGTAGCAACAAACTGTCTTTAGGTAGAGTTATGATTCCATGCAAACTCATAACTACGTTTCTTTGATATATACATGCAGTCTTGCATTCTCATTCAGTGATCATAAAGAAACAACTAATTTCTGGAATAATCTAATTAGAAGACACTCTGACAGCCATGCTTCTAAGGAAAGCTCCAAGCTGAGAGTCTTACTTGCTTTGGTTATCACTTAAATTTGACTTTTTCTATTGTAACAAGACATATTTTGTAGTTTGGATCACCGAACTAACTTCTGATTGCTGTCATTTGTTGTATAACATTATTTCTTCCTGCATTCACCCCCAAAACATCTTATTTCTGATAAATATATCCAGGTCTAGCCTATGCCTGAGAGTGGTAACAATCGTCTTTCATCTGCCATGTTATAGAGGTTAGGTCGCAGCTGCTTCTTAGTAAATTGAGTTTAGTGGTTAAGAGACCATGGATGTTCTGAGTTCTCTTATGCACAAGTGTAGTATTTTGATTGCAGATACAGAGTAATTCCTTTAAGAAATGAATGCCTGTTACATGATGCATTAGGGACAATAAGCTCAGAGCAAGTAAAACTAAAATGAATTAAAGCAAGGTTTGAGATTGTAATTACTGATATCAAACCAGAGAAGTTGGACTGAATGGCTGAAAATCTTGTCAGCAACTTCTCTAAAATTGATTAATTTCTACCTCTAATTAACTTAAAAAGGAAACATATATAAACAATGTATAAATATACAGGTAAACATGTCGTATTTGCTTAGACTAAGAAATACAGCCACTGGACTTTGAAGTCAGAAAAATATATCCTAAGCTCTTTTAAAACCATAACCAGAGTATAGTAGCATTCACCTGAGCTTTTTTTCTTATGGTCCTCCCTTTCCTTTCAAAGTACCTTGGTGGTTACATTTTCATCCAAGACCTTTTCCATATTCACATAAAACTCCTCTGAGTATTGACTTATTATGTAGTCAAAGCTTTTAGGTCCTTTCTAACAAATCCAAGTACCTATCATCTGGCCAGGTCAGATGTTAGATAGACAAAGTCTGGTGAGAACTTGCATTGGAAGTACAACAATTGGTACCTTCCATCACATAGCTTCTCATTTTGTCAACAAGGTTCACCACTGACAAACTGCAGTTCTGGTGGATGACTTCTTCACTGTCGTCTCTCAACTCTACTACAGAAACCTGTTCCAGGAATCTGTACTCTATCTTTCTTGACCAAGACCTGACCTTACATCATAGATGTCTTCACGGCATACTCATTAGATTAGTACCATACAACTTACCTGGTATCTTAAAGGTGTTATCCTTAAACCAAAATAAATGATTTAGAACATAACAGAACTATGACTAGCAAGAAGGTGTTACACACAGCATACCTAGCCACCTCAGTAGCTAATTAGAGATTTTGTCATGTTTAACTACAATTGTCAAATTTCAAAGGATCTAAAACAGATATGTCAAAAGTCATCTCCTTATTTATACTCTTGGAAACTGTTCATCATAATCAGAAGCTTTGCAAAGCTTAGCTAGAAGTTGAGTATTTATCTGTATGTACAAAGATGGTTCTAGTCTTCCCTGCTACAAGAAGTGAGGCTGAATAGCTTGAAACAACTGAGGCTCATAGTCAAAAAGAAACCAAAAAGCAAAAAACAAAACAGACAAACAAACAAAAAAAACAAACACCACTAAAATTCATATTTGTACAACAACGTTTAGTATGTTTGCTTAAAATTTTAAACTGAAAACCAAACCAAAACTTAATTTTAGTTGCATGTAGTTACACGAGTTTATTTTGAACTCTGGCCAGTTCTCCAATACCTAATCTACAGTGTACAGCATAAGAATAGCTAGACAAGATAGTACAGTGCTGAATGGTTATTTTGGCATTGAATCTTTTTCCTTGTGGGTGGGGTTGGGGAAGAGGTCACACAGTTGTCAGTGGTCCCTGTTCCATAGTCATCAGGGTCCTGTAATGTGATCTAGGAGATGTTCCAGGACTAGCTCAGGCACAGCTTAGGCTGAGCTAGTTCACCACCCTACAGCCCAACACCACTGTAACTCCTACCTCCTGCAGAGCTCATGGTCAAAGCACTGGGCATTTAGTGCTCTCAATCTGAATACAGAGTAGGAAGCATATCTCCACAACTGCTATCCCACTCCCATCCACTGACGCTCAGCACTTTTTTTTTCTTTGCATCCCCGTGCACAGTCCCACAAATGTCCTCCCTCCGGTCTGTTGTTGCTCAACACGCTGTTCTGTAATGGAAGGAGCACAGGCAACAAGGTGCCCCTATACTAATTTTCACATATTTCACAGGGTACTGTGATTATGTTTCCCTTTTTACAGCATTAGAACATTCAGCCAGTGTGCAGTGTCAGTATTTGTATCGCACTAATAGCCTAGCTAACAATTTTGATGTCAATATAACAAGATAGCAGCAGATGCTGGAATACTTGCCTCCGTTTTTCCCCACTGTTCGGAAACATCTCCAGAAGGTCCGAAGAAAAGATGCTCTGTTATGAGGGGTAGCTTGGACAAAGCTGAACTCACGGAACAAAATGTGTGTTCCTTGACGCACACTGTTAAAACTGTGGAGATAAAGTAAAAACAACAAAACGTTAGAAAGCTGAACCAATGTGAATGTTCTGGGGCCAGCTGGAACAGTAGCAAAAAACCACTGGCAGTTATATTTTGTGAAACCAAATCTCTAAAGCTTATATCCATCTGTTCTCTAGAGAGAAGACTATTTGCAAAAACCACACATTGAAACTTAATTATAGGAATTAAGGGTTTGTCAAAGTAAAATTCATTCTAAAGAATCCCAGCAAGGGGTGTCCAAGAGCCACTTAAATTCTTGAGACCAATCCACTGGAAAATGAGTGGCTAAGAGTTACTGTTGTTTGTCTGACCAGAAGATGCCTTTTCTTTTAGCACCATTTGAATTTCATTGCTATTCTCACCAGTTTTCCCCGAAGCCACAAAATAACAACAAAAATCTTCTTCAACAGAAGTCTCAAGATTTTATTTCTAGGTTACTTGACTGAGACATGACTGTACTGAACGTATAAAATCTGCTTTAGTTGTCATGAAAACTAGACTGGCACCTCCCTAAATAACACTTTGCACTAGTCCATTTTGAAAATAGTAGCTGGTCATTATGATGGAGAGTCAATTTGATATTCACAGTCTTGGATTTTAGTACAAATTTCTCATATTTGACTTGTAAGCACTTCAGGGTAACTTCTTATGGTAAACATTTGTCTTAAAAAGGTTTCTCTGAAGTGTAAGAAGCTCTCCTTTGGGTACGGTGGAGCTCAGCATGTAAGAACAATAGAAATGCAAATACAAACATTATATACCAAAGGTACAATGACAGGGTTGCCTCAAAGATGGATTTTGCGCATTTCTCTCTGAATCATGCAAGTGGGACAAAAGCTTTCAAACACTCCAGAGAGATCATTAAAAACATTCACATGGGACAGCAGCTTAACTTGCCTGCACAGTGGAGAATTAATGAAAAGATACGAGCTTATCTTTCATCACAGCAGAACCTCTCCGTAGGTAGCATCTCCGCAACAGAAAAAATCCAGTGGTCAGTGGGAGCCCGTTCAGTTTGCAATTTTAAAATCATCTTCTTAAATATAACTAGTTTCAATCACCTTTTTATGCTGCCTAGCATAGAAAAGGGCCTCACATTTCAGAGAGAATTATACCAGAGATAGCAAAAATTAAAGCCATATTATCAGTTCAGGGGGATGGGAGGGTGGAGTGGTTGTAGCCCGCCTATTCTGAAGGGAATGCAACTCACATAAAATAAGTACAACCACATTATGATTAAAAAACACTCATCCTTGAATCCTGGAAATCAGGAACACTTTTTTCTGTAAATATCATGAACAAATTGATTATTTCACATTTATGAAGCCTTACTCATGCACCTGTGCTGTGCAAGCCAGTGAAAAGCACAGGCATCGTAGCAAAAGATTTAAGTAAATAAGTAGAACCTGTGTCTGATCAAAATATCCCAAAATTAGAGGAAAGAGCTCCCATGACTATCATTGTAAGTGAAGAATATTCACTACAAAGTGTTATAGCTCATTATTTAGAGGGAAGAAGTACAGAGCAAGGGAAAGAAACTTGCTTTAAATCCCACAAAGCAACTGTGACAAAGCTGGAAATGGCATTTCAGATCATCTCATCCCAAACCACAACCTATAAGACTTTTTTGATTTCTTATTTGCATTGTTTTGTTGATGATTTGACAGGTTGATGGAAAAAAAAAAAGAAAGGTACAAATGAAAAAGAAGCAGCTTGGTATAATTGAAGAAGGCAGCTTTCAGAAAGATGACACATAAGGGAGATATATAGGAAGAGGAAAAAAAGATGAAGGCAAGAGTACGGTTGTACAGACCCCTGAGGGAATGAGAAAGAATACTCAACGTTTAAATCTCAGAAAGAAATAGGGGGAGGTTAGCTGCACAATGATTTATCTAAATGTACCCAAGTTATATTGCTCAGAACAACTACAGTACCTACACCAGCTGGAAGCAAATCCTGGCACATCTATAAGGGAAAGTTCCAGACATGAAGCTAACATACTATTAGCTCACAGCAGACAGCTCTGCTATATTACTCCCTAGTCCTAATAAGAGAAAACTCAAGGCACTTGGATTTTCAGCACAGGATGGCTCTAAAGCTAGCAGGCAGAAGGGAATGATATCATTTGTTGTTGCTTACTCGGCTATAAGAGTGGGTGGATATGTTGGAACACAGCACACCTGCGTGTACTGACAGCCAAGTGCCGTCAGCTAGTTGAGAGAAGAGGCACATTGCTTCTTTCGTTCCTCATCTCTTGCAATAACATTTCGTTTAACTATACAATGGGAGGGTTTTGCCCCAAAAGCTCAAGTCTGCAAACACAGGAGTTAGTGTTATCTCTGTTAAGATGCTGCATTTCAGAAATCCTACTTTATACATTCTTTTTTATAGTTTGCAAGTGCTCAGCTCAAAGGAGAGCGCCACCTCCTGCAGCCCACGCTGGAGCTATCCAGCAAGCAGCCCACTGAGATCAACAGGTCTGTTCTCAGGCAGGGTCAACACCGCTACCAGGGACAGGAAATATCTATTTCAAACATATTTTATAATACTTACATTAATTATTTTATTGTGGGTAGAGAGGCAGTACAAATCTAACACTTGCACCTTTTCCATAAGGATGACCCAGAGATGAAGTTATCATTAATGTGGCAAGTAGCAATGGCCTGCAGGTAAACTCTGCTGAAAGCAAAAGGAATGGTGACTACCAAAACCTACTGCAATTATTTCAACTGCATGTCTGCAGTGTGACCAACACATTACCTTTGATTTTAATATACACTTGAACAGATGTCTTTTCCATTTTCTTTTGAACACAGGAATAAAAGAAGCTGCCCTCCCAGAGGAATGGTTTAAGTAAGCAAGATATCAACTGCAAGGCAACAAACTTAGCTCGAAGATTCTCAGCAAGTTTAACAGCTGCTGAGGTTCCTCCCTTAGGATTGCTCAGTCTTTTCCTCTATCTGTCCTCCTCTCATGGAACAATTCATACCCTCAGCAAAGTCAGGTGGCCATAGCTCAGCAGCACATTGTGCAGGAGAAAGACCTACAAACTAGGCTGTCTTTACAAGCTGTTAGTTTGACCTCATTCATTTGAAAGCAGGCTAGTGAACCTAGAAATACAAGCTGGGAAAATAACTCCTCACTTATCTGGTTAACTCCTCCTTTCCCCCCTTTCAGGCGTTCAGCGTGGCCATTTGCAGAGAATCCTCCTAGAAGAAAGCTTAGAAAGTTTCAGAGTCTTCAACTGCAGAACTAATGGCTGTCTTGGCCCTCTACCTTACCAGTAAACAGTGTAGACAAATAAAAACCCTACCAGAAGTTATTAATGCCACGATTATGTTTGTCTGAAATAAAAACTGAGACCAGGCAGTGAGTTGAACGTTAACACCAGTTTACTGCAGACAGTCATATTTCACACAAGACTTGTTACACAACCAGGTACTGTGCTAAGCTTCTCATTCACTTAAGAGAATATTCTGGGGAAAGATGAGACAGGTTTAAAGCAAGGTTCTTGCTCAATGGGAAACTTTGAAAATTTGAAGAAGGTTTTGCAGTAGGGACCTAAAGGTCTTCCTTTTTCACTCTTTTCCATCATGTGCCCTAGAGCAGCCAACCCAAGGAATCAAATCTCTTCCAATGCCTCAGCTGAGAAAGCTGCATCTTACAGCACACCCAGTCCATGCTTGGGGGATGGCACGTGCATGGGAGAAGAAAAAAGTTTTGGGAAGAGACTGATAAAACAACCCCAGCTCTCAGAAATGGCTGTGCTGGGAACCCTCGCACTCAGGTGCTGCTTCTCCAAACAGAGCTGCTTTCAGTAAGGCTTTGTCTTTTGTGTAATTACATTTCGGCAACTTGCCAGAGTTCAGAAACTTTCAAGCACTCTTTTCAAACCTTTGGACTTCTAAATAGATTGTAAAAGTCCCAGGATGCTATGGTAACATCCCAATTGAAACCCACTGCAGTAGTTAGCCTCTGCCTGCTGAACTCGGGCAAAGCCAAACATGCACAATGCAGAGAGAGCCCCGTGCCCTGCAAAGGACAGAAGTTTGCCAGCGCCCCGCTGTCCCCCTAGCAGGTGCCACCTTTGGTTACTGAATGAGTTCTCAGGGCCCCTTCTCTACTAAAGCATGGAACAGGGACCGTTATTCCTTAACTTACACCATACTGCTTTCATTTTCCACCAAGAGCATGATGAAGGAGGAAAAGCTCACTTTGCTGGCTTATGCTGCTTCTGCAGAGGACCTGATGTCAACGCTGTGGGTATTTCAGGGTTCGTTTTTCTTGAAACACACTTTGGACTGGCTCTGGTTTGGTCTCCTGGACTGCATGCTCATTTGCAGTTGGAACACATCTTTCAGTTTAGTTCATCTGAAAGGAACCCAGGTCACGAGCTCCAAGTCTGCTTCATGGTGTGAACCAAAGCACAGTAAGTAGGGATAATCAGGAGTATTAGGATTAGAAACTACGGTACAATGGGTAACAAAGAACTAGCTCTAGCAATAGAAAATACTGGAATTCAAAAGGCCTTAAAGCTCAGGCAATTTCTGTTGTTAAATAACTCATCCACGCACAAAGCATCCCGAAGCGACCAATCACACTTACCCAAGGTTTTGCTCCAAAATAGCAAAGTCAGGTTTACCTTGCCTGGAAAGAGCCCAGAGAGGGGAAACATTTAAAATAATGGGCATCACTGAGAAAAAAATCCCAGATACACTGCTACGATGAATAAAGTACTACTGAGTGAGCATAGTTTAATGTAAGATTGCTGTTCCTTACCTATTTAAGTTTACTAGGCTACGTACAAGATGCAGACCAATCATTGGATTATTTCTTTAGTTATCACTCTTGGAAGGTAGCAGAGAAATATCAGCATTCCTCAATGCAAAGCTGTTGTACCAGGTGCTTTGTGAAATTCCAGAGATATTAAGATTCAGGACAATTAAGTTAACCTAAAAGAAATCAACATCTTCATCTAATGAAATTAACA